AGCTTCCTCTGGGTCTCCCATGTGGGCGCAGGGGCCCAAATACCTGGGCCATCTTCCATTGCTTTCCCAGGCCACAGCAGAGAGCTGGACTGGAAGAGGAGCAGCCGAAACACAAACTGGCGCCCATTTGGGATGCTGCTGCTGCAGGCAGAGGCTTAGCCCACCACACCACAATGTCGCCCCATAAGTCTGAATCTTACTAAATCTTCTGATGTATCCATCTCCTCTGACACTTCGCTGCCAGAGAAGGAGGTACTGCCTTGTTACTGCTGGGTGTATGAGGAAGTCCAGGGCTCCGCAGTTGGGCTCCACTGATACAACACTGCCTGAAGTGGAAAGGGTTCCTCTATTACTGGGCAAGGAGAAACATCTAAGTTCCTCACAAGGCTTTCTCCAACACTATCTCTAAGAGATGGAAGGGTGTCTAGTCATAGCTGTGTGAGAGTAGAAGTCTAGGGTCCCCACTCAGCCTGAGGTTGGGGGTGGGGTCAAGTTTCTTTTTTTGTATTATTTGGCTGGAGTAGAAGAGTCACTGTTTAAAGTTTTCTGTCTGGATGGGATGCTCCTTTCCTGTTCCTTTGGCTTGAAAGAGCAGATTTTCTTGTGTCTTGTTTGATTTATTTATTTATTTGCCTGCCAGTTTCTCCAATATCTGGTCCAGGATATATAACACAGAAGGGAAATCAGAAAATTTATTGTTGTGTTATTCTTCAAGCTGCAAAGTTCCTAACCAGTCTGCCTTCTTTTTTCAAACTTTTAGTCTTCTTAGGTTTGTTTCATACATCCCATATGGGTGCTGGTTCGAGTCCCGGCTGCTCCACTTTCTATCCAGCTCTCTGCTATGACCTGGGAAAGCAGTAGAAAATGGCCCAGGTCCCTCAGCCCCTGCACCCACGTGGGAGACCTGGAAGAAGCTCCTGGCTTCAGATAGGCTCAGCTCCAGCTGTTGCGGCCTATCGGGGAGTGAACTAGTGGATGGAAGACCTCTCTCTCTCTCTCTCTCTCTTTCTCTCTCTCTCTCTCTGCATCTCCTCTCTCTCTGGGTAACTCTGACTTTCAAATAAATAAATAAATCTTAAAAAAGTTCACAAATGTTACATCATGTTGGCAGACTGCAATTTTTATCAATATAAAATTTTTTGTACCATTTGCTTATATATGCCTGGAATTTTATTTATTTTTAATAATATTGCCATCATTGATTTCTTTTTGTTGGCATTTACATGATATATATTTCCATATTCCTTTATTTTCCATGTTCTCATAGAATTTAATTTCAGCGATTTATAAGGATCAACCAGCTGGATTTTGCTCTTTTATGAATTACGGAAATTTTTGTCTTGAATATGAAACTTTAATTAATTCATCTTTTAATGAGATGGTTGTTTATTCTTATTTTACCAGCACAAAATTTTCATTGGTTAAAAATACACCGCTATCGGTAATGTGGACTTTAGAGATGGAAAGATGGTTTGAAGGCTGGCTTTGTCACTTACTTGTTAGCACTGTGACTTTGGATGAGTCACCTTTCCCATCTATAAAATGGGGATATTAATATTACCTAGCTAAATAGGACTGTTGTAGATATTTCAAAATAATTCACTGAAAGCACTTAGTTTGAGGCCTGGCACAGAGTAAGTGCTCAATATTATTGCTGTTGTGGGGCCGGCGCTGTGGCACAGAGGGTTACGCCATGGCCTGCAGTGCCAGCATCCCATATGGGCACCGGTTCAAGACCCAGCTGCTCCACTTCCAATCCAGCTCTCTGCTGTGGCCTGGGAAAGCAGTGGAAGATGGCCCAAGTCCTTGGGCCCCTGCACCCGCGTGGGAGACCCGGAGGAAGCTCCTGGCTCCTGGCTTCAGATTGGCGCAGCTCCAGCCATTGCAGTCAACTGGGGAGTGAACCAGCGGATGGAAGACCTCTCTCTCTCTCTCTCTCTCTCTGCCTCTTCTCTCTCTGTGTAACTCTGACTTTCAAATAAATAAATAAAAAAAAATTATTGCTGTTGTTCCTAATGTTTTTGTTGTGTGTTCACATACCAGTTATCAAAACTGTGTGACTTAAGTCTAGATCTTTGGTTTTATTCCATTTCCCAAGTTTTGGCTTTGGATCTCATCCTATCCATTAGGTATTTCTATTTTTAAACCTGTCACCTTGAACTGAATAAGTCCTTTTACAATTGACATCTTTTTTTTTTAAAGATTTATTTATTTATTTGAAAGTCAGACTTACACAGAGTGAGAATATGAGAGAGAGAGCGCGAGAGAGAGAGAGAGAAAGAGAGAGAGAGACAGAGAGAGAGGTCTTCCATCTGCTTGTTCACTCCCCAATTGGCTGCAATGGCCAGAGCTATGCTGATCTGAAGCCAGGAGCCAGGAGCCTCTTCTGGGTCTCCCACGTGGGTGCAGGGGCCCAAGGACTTGTGCCATCCTCTACTGCTTTCTCAGGCCATAGCAGAGAGCTGAATTGGAAGCGGAGCAGCCAGGACTTGAACTGGTGTCCATATGGGATGCCGGCACTGCAGGCGGCGGCTTTACCCGCTACACCACAGTGCCGGCCCCAATTGGCATCTTATAGAGTATCTGTTTCCATCAACTGCAAAAACATTTACCCAATGCTATGATCTTAATGTCCCTCAAGAGTCATATGTTGAAATTTAATCCCAATGTGATAGTATTAAGTGGGTCCTTTAGGGGGTAATTTTCCTGAGGGTGGAGCCCTCCTGGGTGGGACTGGAGTACTAATAACAGAGTTTAAGGGAGTGGGTTTATCCCTTTTCTATCTTTTCTGCCATGTGAGAACACACATGCATCCTCTCCAGAGGCCAGAGTGACAAATGAAGCATCTTGAAAGCAGAGACTAGGCCATCCTCATACATGGGACCTGCCAGTACCTTTGTCTTGAACTTCTCAGCCTCTGGGACTGTGAGAAACATATTTCTATTGTTTATAAGTTACTCGGTTTGTAGTATTTTGTCATAAAGATTGCATATCCCATAATCCAAAATGTTTAAGACCAGACGCATTTCAGAGTTCAGATTTTTTTTTATTTTGGAATGTTTGCATAGAATTTACCAGCTGAATATCCCTAACCACAAAATCCAAAATCCTAATGCTTCAAAACCCAAAATGTTGGAATGTCAGTTTTATATTTTAGAGCATTTTGAGCTTCAGGGTTTCATATCAAGGGTGCTTATCCTGTAGCAGCACAAATGGACTGAAAGTTTCTAAAGCTTCATGTTATCTAGACTCATCTCTTATTTATCTAGTTAACCAATACCTGACTTACAGCTGTGGTTTAGAATGACCCACTCGATTTTTACTATCACCAAACTAGTATATCTTCTCTTTATCTATTTGTGAATTAGTGCACTTCCTCCTCACTATAATGTGTACTGTCACTGACCAATAGTCTCTAAATATTGCTTTCATCATGCCATCCCATTCTCAACAACTTTTGGCAGTTTCAGACTTCTGATAAAATTTTAAAAATTAGTTCTGTTTATTTTCTTTTTTAAAAAATTTTATTTGATAGATAGAGTAATGGACAGTGAGAGAGAGAGAGAGACAGAGAGAAAGGTCTTCCTTTTCTGTTGGTTCACCCCCAAATTGCGCTGCGCCGATCCGAAGCCAGGAGCCAGGTACTTCTCCTGGTCTCCCATGGGGTGCAGGGCCCAAACACTTGGGTCATCCTCCACTGCACTCCCTGGCCACAGCAGAGAGCTGGACTGGAAGAGGAGCAACCGGGACTAGAACCCAGTGCCCATATGGGATGCCGGCGCCTCAGGTGGAGGATTAACCAAGTGAGCCATGGCGCCGGCCCCAGTTCTGTTTATTTTCAATGTCTTCACAATCTGATCCTACCTTACTTACTAATTTTCTTTATAAATTATACTCCAACATGCAAAGCCCATTTTATTCAGTTTGTTCTATTTACTGACATCTCATAAATTCCATTTCAGTTGAGAAATTGTCCTTCACAATTTGATTTGATTCACTGCAAAATACTAATCTAATGGGTTTGTACTTACTATCTTGAACAGTTTTCTACTATCCTTATGTATAATCTTTGCCACTTGAATTAGACTTTTTCCTTTCTGAGGACAATTCTGGGACCACAGTAGTTATTAAACTGGGTACTTGTTAACCGTTTTAAGTAAAGAAAGACTTCACTACTTCCTCAATTGCAATAATTTGAAAGGATTTTTGAGATGTGATCAAAATCCCTAAGACTCTGTCTGGATTTTGAATCATTTGTGATGATGGATTCTTCTTTAATGAAAAAGAATTCTGTGTAATTTGGCAGTACAAACAGCTCTTTGGAAGCAACAGCAGAGACACAGAAAGGAAGCAGTTGCTTCAGTATTGGCTCTAGTCCTCTAGGAACAATAAAGCCTTTCACCCAGTTTCAAGTGAGCAATATCAGGAAACACATCCAAAAAAAAAAAAAGGAATAAAAGAAAGAAAGATACACCAAAAGCCTTTTCACTTTCTCCTTGCTAGATGTTACTGCCCCAGTTAGACAGGCTTTGGAAAGAGAAGCCTGAGAACTTTTCTAATAAATCTTGCAGCTCCACTGGAGTCAGAAAGATGCACAATGTAGTAGCACCGTCCTTAAAGAGAATAGTTTCTGCAAATTGATCTGGAATCCAATTCTCTAAAATAGCCCCCAATCAAGTTATTCTGTGATACATTTTGAAAAAATCATACCTTTCAAGCTATCTGAAATATACTTGTCTGTGGGTTTATTTGCTACATATTTATCAATTGTCTTGGTCTAAAACCTAAGCTCCCTTAGAGTAGAAACCTCATATACTTATTCACCCCATGTGTGCCCAGTGCTTATAAAAGTGCCTGGCACGAAAGAGGAGCTGATAAGTACTGCTGAAAGAATGAATCACAAGAAATAGCTCTCCAGCAATTCTGATATAGTAAAAGGCTAAGCATATGATTTATTTAAAAAAAATACACATGCATTACTTGCCTCAGATAGCCCTTACCAAGCATGGTTTGTGAGATGGGGAAGGTGATAGTAGGCTGGCCTGTCATCCTCCAGCGGCTACAGAGGTAGGAGAGGTCTGTTCTAAGCATTTCCACTATCATCTTGTTGTCTAGAGCCAGGTAGAACTGTTGCTGGTCTATAAACTGAGAAAAAGAAAAGTAATTGTTCAGAATAATTGACTCTCATAACTATCAAATAATATTTTAAAATACAGACTTATAAGGATAAAAAAGAGCTTCAAATGCCCTCAAATGTAATCCCTAATACTTCCCTTTGTATTTAGTGGTTAATTGGTACATATAACAAGAGTTTCTGACATATTCACAGGGTGTTACAGTTTACCAAGTATCTTCAAGTACACCCATTAAGGGCTTATCTTCTTTCAATAAATGAAAAATAATTTGCAAATGGCAAAGTCATAAATAGAATCTATGGTTCATTAATCTTCCATTTATATCTCCCTCAGCTGCAGTACTTCAAATGTACATGATAAATACAAACTTTAAGCTTTCTTCCCAGAAAATAGTTGCTCCTCTGCATACACACACATATTATTGGGCTTGGTACTATAATATAGCTAATAAATATCAGGCTAATAATATATATAATGTATATAATGTTTATATTAAACAGTCCTAACTAATTAAATTACTAAAAGCAGTCCTGACATTTTTGTTGTGAAGAAGATATTGAAGATCCCTAAGCATGTAAAATAGTCCCCTCCCCTCAAATAAAGAAAACACATAAATCATTAGCTGAATAAAAGAGACTGTGTTTTACTTATAATTGACAAATGCATCTTATTTTAGCTCTTAAAAGTAAGGGGAACCTTTGTGAACATTCTAACATTTGTAAAATCCTTAGTACTTCTGCAATACCCCAAGTCTACTGTTGGTAATCAAAATCACTTGTCATAAAGTCTGTGTTGCAAGTTCAATTCGGTTAAACCCAATAAACATTTAATGGACAAATTAATATACTCATGGCTCTGTGGAACTCTTCTACACTTATCCCAACTACAGTATATGATTTCTTTCTGCAATGTTTCTCTTTAATTTCCATTCACCTCAATGCACATTTCCGTTTATTTAACCCACCTGTGGAGTGAAAGTAAAGATAGTTTTCCGAATGTCATAGAGTTTGGAAGTTCCAAGTACTCCCATGTGTCTGTAGGGTCGTCCACTGAGTTTCATTCTATTATTGCATCCTGACACAGAATTGGGAAATGGTCAAGATATGTGTAGTGTACAAACCAAAACAGCAAACATTTTACATACAGATACAGACATGATGCATATGTATGCACATAGGTACACACATTCACCTTATTTCCTCGAGTTTAAGGTGCCTTCTTTTTATATTCTGAAATTGGAACCTATTTTTTAAATGATATCTATGTCATATTTAGTTGAATTTCTTTTTGTCTTCCAAAAGGCAGCTATGAAATCAAAATCTCTTGCAATGAAGAAATAGTTATATCCTTTTTTTTTTAACTTTTATTTAATGAATATACGTTTCCAAAGTACGAATAATGGATTACTATGGCTTCCCCCCCATACCGTCCCTCCCACCCACAACCCTCCCCTTTCCCACTCCCTCTCCCCTTCCATTCACATCAAGATTCATTTTCGATTATCTTAATATACAGAAGATCAGCTTAGTATACATTAAGTAAGGATTTCAACAGTTTGCTCCCACACAGAAACATAAAGTGAAAAATAATAGATGATTTTTTTTAATGATGATGAAATCAGATCAGACCTATTGTCATGTTTAATCCCAGTGAGAGTCAAGTTGGGAGTTGATAGTTTCTTTTCTTTTCTTTTCTTTTTTTTTTTACAGAGGATCCGTTTAGTATGCATTAAGTAAAGATTTCAACAGTTTGCACCCCCATAGAAACACAAAGTGAAATATATTATTTGAGTACTCGTTATAGCATTAAATCTCAATGCACAGCACATTAAGGACAGAGATCCTACATGAGGAGTAAGTGCACAGTGACTCCTGTTGTTGACTTTACCAATTGACACTCCTGTCTATGGCATCAGTAATCTCCCTATGCTCCAGTCATGAGTTTCCAAGGCTATGGAAGCCCCTTGAGTTCTCCGACTCTTATCTTGTTTAGACAAGGTCATAGTCAAAGTGGAGGTTCTCTCCTCCCTTCAGAGAAAGGTACCTCCTTCTTTGAAGACCTGTTATATCCTTTCATGTCAGCACTGACAGAAACACTGCCTCTTTACCATTTTTCCCTTTTGACTAGAACATTTTTTCCCTCGGGACTTTTAGGCTTCATCCTAAGTGTTATATTGATCACAAATGGTACATTTTTAGTGTTGTTTCACTTTTATGGGAGCTAGAAACAGAGAACTGTTAATGTCTTGGTCATATTCTAGCGTCTGCACAGCAAAGCACACATTTTTCAGGAGATTAATGTCACAATCAGGGTTATCCATTGTTCCTTCCTTTTTGTTTCTTTTTTTCAAATCACAGTGAAGTATACATAAAATTTTCCACTTTATTTTTTAAAGATTTATTTATTTATTTATTTCAAAGAATTACAGAAACAGATGGAAAAACTGACAGCAAGCTTCCATCTGCTGTCACTCCCCAGATGTCCTCAATGGCCAGGGCTGAGCCGGGCCAAAACCAGGAGCTTCATCCGGGTCTCCCACGTGAGTAGCAAGGGCCCAAGTACTTGGGCCATCCTCCATTGCTTTTCCCAGGCTCATTAGCAGGGAGTTGGGTCAGAAGTGGAACAGCCAGGACACAAACAGGTGCCCATATGGGATGCCAGTGTTGGAGGTAGCAGCTTTACCTGCTATGTCACAACACCAGACCCAAATAGTTTTTTTTAAAGATTTATTTTATTTAATTTGAAAGGCAGAGTTACAAAGAGGCAGAGGCTGAGAGAGAGAGAGAGAAAGAGAAAGAGAGAGAGAGAGGTCTTCCACCCACTGGTTCACTCCCCAAATGGCTGGAACTGCACTGATCTGAAGCTAGGAGCCAGGAGCTTCTTCTGGGTCTCCCACGTGGTTGCAGGGGCCCAAGGACTTGGATCATCTTCTACTGCCTTCCCAGGCCATAGCAGAGAGCTGGATTGGAAGTGGATGCAGGTGCCCAAGGACTTGGGCCATCTTTACTGCTTTCCCAGGCCATAGCAGAGAGCTGGCTTGGAAGTGGAGCAGCTGGGACTTGAACCAGTGCCCATATGGGATGTTGGCACTGCAGGCGGCAGCTTTACCCACTATGCCACAGCGCCCACCTCCCAAGCCCTTTGAAAACAAACTTTTCCCCTAGATCTTGCTTCTGTGGGTGCACTCGTTGCTCAGCAAACTGGGAGCCAGGAGCTTCATCCAGGTTTCCCACATGGGTGCAGGGTGGGCCATGCACTTGAATCATCTTCTGCTGCTTTCCCAGGTGCATTGGCAGGGAGCTGGGTCAGAAGTGGAGCAGCCTGGACTTGAAGTGGCACCCATGTGGGATGCCAGCAGTGCAGACAATGGCTTGAACCACTACACCACAGTACTGACCCACAAACTTTCCATTTCAATAATAGTTAAGTGTACAGTTCAGTGGCAGTAAGCACATCTATATCATTGTGCAAGTAGCATCGCCGTCGATATTCAGGTTTTCATCTTCCCAAACTGGAACTCTCGTTAAACAGTAACTTCCTGTTTCTCCTCCTCTCAGTCTCTGTCAACTACCATTCTACTTTGTGTCTCTATGAATCTGACTATTTTAGATATAACTGGAGTCATATATTATTTGTCCTTTTGTATTGGCTTATTTCATTTAGTAAAATATCTTTCAGCTTCATCAGGGTTGTGGAGGGGACCTTTTTTTCTGCCAAGGGCCATTTGGATATTTTTAACATCATCTGTGGGCCATACAAAACAGCCTGCTACAATTTTGAGTTCCACCTGCGGTTGCCTTGCAGGATCAGAGCAAATGATTTTGTGGGCCTTATACAGCCTGCGGGCCAGACATTCCCCAGCCCTGAAAGCTGATGGCCATTTGGGTTGTGTCTATCTTTTGGCTATTGTGAAAAATGCTGCACATTGGTGTAGAAAATATATGCTTGAGTCATTGCTTTCACTTTGTTGGGAGTATATCCTCAGAAGTGGAACTGCTTGATCATATAGTAATTCTATGTTCATTTTTTTGTCATTTTTCCATAGCAGCTGTACCATTTTACATTGCAACAGTGCAGAATGGCTTTAATTTCTCCACATCCTCACTAACATTTGTTATTTGCTATATTTTTTGTGACAGTCATTGCAATGTATGTGAAATGGTATCTCATTATGGTTTTTATTTGTATTTCCCTAGTGATGCTGAGCATCTTCTCAACTCCTTGTTGGCCATTTGCATATCTTCTTTGAAGAAATGACTATTCAAGTCCTTTGCTCAGTTTTGAATCTGGTTACTTTTTGTTGTTAAACTTTAGTTCTTCTTGTATATTCTGGATATTAATCCCCGATTAGCTGTAAGATTTATAAATACATTCTGTTGTGCTATGGGTTGCCTTTTCACTCTGTTGATGGTATCCTTTGATGCACAAAAAATTTATTTTCATGAAGGTCAATTTGTCTACTTTTCTCTTTTGTTTTCTGTGTTTTTGGTATTATATCCAAGAAATCATTGTGAGGCCCATGATCAAGAAGCTTTTTCCCGACATTTTCTTCAATACTTTTACAGTTTTTGGTCTTAAATTTTGGTCTTTAATGCATATAGAATTAATTTAAAAATAAATTTTAAAACTTTTTATTAATTTGCTTTTATGTTTATTGAAAGAAGGGAGTGAGGGAGAAAGAGAGAGAGAGGGAAAGAGGAAGATGTTGAAAGTGAGAGCAAGAGCGAGAGCGAGAGCAAGAGAGAAAGAGAGAGAGAGATATCTTCCATCTGCTGGCTCACTCCCCAAATGCCCAAAACAGTCAGGGTCGGGCCAGGCTGAAGCCAGGAGCCTGGAACTCCATCTGAGTTTCTTCCACAGGTGGCAGGGATCAAAATATCTCAGCTATGGCCGGCGCCGCGGCTCACTAGGCTAATCCTCTGCCTTGCGGTGCCGGCACACCGGGCTCTAGTCCCGGTCGGGGCGCCAGATTCTGTCCTGGTTGCCCCTCTTCCAGGCCAGCTCTCTGCTGTGGCCCGGGAGTGCAGTGGAGGATGGCCCAAGTCCTTGGGCCCTGCACCCCATGGGAGACCAGGAGAAGCACCTGACTCCTGCCCTCGGATCAGCGCGGTGTGCCGGCCGCGGCGGCCATTGGAGGGTGAACCAACGGCAAAGGAAGACCTTTCTCTCTGTCTCTCTCTCTCTCACTGTCCACTCTGCCTGTCAAAAAAATAAATAAATAAATAAAATAAAAAAAATCTGAGCCATCACTGCTGCCTCCCAGGATGTGTGCTAGAAGGAAGCTGGAATCAGAAGCAGAGCTGGGACTCGAACCCGGGGACTCTGATATGGGATGGGATGTGGGTGGGCCAAGCAGCATCTTAACTGCTGCACCAAATGCCTGCCTCTGAATTAACTTCTTGCATATGGTGTAAACAAAGAGTCTGAATTCATTCTTTGCATGTGGATATCCAGTTTTCTTGGCACCATTTGCTGAAAAAAAAAAATGTCCATTCCTCATTGAATGGCCTTGGCATACTTGTTGAAGATTATTTGATAGTATATGTGAGGATTTGTTTCTGGGCTCTCCATTCTATTGCATTGTTTTATCTATCTGTCTTTATACCAGTAGTAGTATACTTTTGTGATTACTTAGCCTTGCAGTATATTTTGAAATCATAGTACAAGTCCTCAAATTTTATCCTGTTATTGTTTGAAGATTATTTTTGTTATTCGGAGTCCCTTTGAAATTCCATATGAATTTTATAACAAAATTTTCTATTTTTTTAAAAAAATCACTGAGCTAATGACACAAAGATTTCCTTGAATATTCTGATAGCTTTAGGCAGTACTGACATCTTTTTTTAAATTTTAATTTAATTTTTTTGACAGGCAGAGTGGACAGTGAGAGAGACAGAGAGAAAGGTCTTCCCTCTGTTGGTTCACTCCCCAAATGGCCGCTACAGCAGGTGCTGCACAGATCCGAAGCCAGGAGCCAGGTGTTTCTTCCTGGTCTCCCCTGCAAGTGCAGGGGTCCAAACACCTGGCCATCCTCCACTGCACTCCTGGGCCACAGCAGAGAGCTGTACTGGAAGAGGAGCAACTGGGACTAGAACCCAGTGCCCATATAGGATGCCAGCACCGAAGGTGGAGGATTAACCAAGTGAGCCATGGCACTGGCCCTCTACCAATGCTAACTTCTAAAGGCTGTGGGTATTCCTTGGTGATACTTGGCTCACAGCTGCATATAATGTTGATGTTCATAGGTTCCAAAGATTAGAACCTGGATGTCTCTGGGAGCCATCATTTAGTATCACACAGTTTACCCTCTGAACCCTAAAGATCTGTTTCTGTCTTCACATATCCAACTTCTATAGTCTAGTCTTTAGCTCATAAGAATATTTGTGGTTATATTTAGGGTCTGCCTGGGTAATCTCAACTCAAACATTCCTTTAAAAAAAAAGATTTATGGGGCCGGTGCTGTGGTGTAGTGGGTAAAGCCTCTGCCTACAGTGCTGGCATACCATAGGGACACTGGTTCGAGACTCAGCTTCTGATCCAGCTCTCTGCTATGGCCTAAGAAAGCAGTAGAAGATGGCCCAAGTCCTTGGGTCCCTGTGCCTGCGTGGGAGACTCAGAAGAGACTCCAGGCTCCTGGCTTTGGATCGGTGCAGCTCAGGCCATTGTGGCCATTTGGGGAGAGAACCAGCAAATGGAAGACTTTCTCTCTCTCTTTCTCTGCCTCTGCCTCACTATAAATCTGCCTTTCAAATAAATAAATCTTTTTGAAAAAAAAGATTTATTTATTTGAAAGTCAACGTTAGAGAGAGAGAGAGAGTGAGTGCTCCCATCTACTGGTTCATTCCCACAATGGCCAGGGCTAGGCTGACCCTAAGCCAGCACCTTGCAAGCGGGTGGCAGGGGCCCAAACACTTGGGTCATCTTCCACTGCTTTCTCCAGGCCATTAGCAAGAAGCTGGATTGGAAACGGAGCAGCTGGGACATGAACTGGCATCCATCTGCATGGGATGCTGGCCTCACAGGCAGCAGCTTTACCTGCTATGCCACAACACTGGCCCCTCATCTCAAACTCTTTAACTGAATCACACCTGCAGAGCCCCTTTGTCATATAAGATAATGTGCATGGGTTCCAGGGATTAGGACCTGGATATCTTTGGGGGTCATTATTCAGTTTAGAAAATTTGCATATCCTTTGTGAAGTTAACAGTTTAAGTAATTTATCAAATATTAAATGCCTATCACTTAAGCTAACATAAAATTGAATAAAAATAAGTACTAATTAACTGAATGCTATTTTAAAATTAATAAACTATTAAGTTGAAATAAAAATAATCATTAGATTAAGTATTAAGTTAAGGGTTTTACAAATATTATCAACAAATTCATTACATGGCAAAGGATAAAAGACTTAAAAACAAGTCCCTGAGCTATCAATCTCTGTAAAATTAACATGTACTTGAAAGAGAAACATAGATTCCAAGAAAAGGTAGAATGTGTTAGTTAAGTACACTTTTGGAGTGAAGATACAATGTCATCTGATAATAATCATGCCTTATGCACCAAAGGGTTCATCAAACACATCTAAAATTATCAAGCCTTCTCAGGATGGATAGGGTTAGAAACTAGGATTTCAGAGCCACTGAATTCCTTCTCATCTCTAGTTTAATAAAGCAATACAAAGTCAAGAAGAAGAAAAAACAGGAAGAAAATCAGACTGTACCGAATAATACTTACCAAGGCTGGAATAAATGTGGCTGAGAATACGGGCTGGCTGTACTCTGATGGGGTATACCTCAGCAATAGTCTCCACATTAATTCCTTTGTCCTTCAAAATGGCCTTAATTTCTTCTGTTTCAGCAAGGATGGAGACTACAGGAGAGAAAATAGATGAGGCCTACAGAAAATTTTATTTCACTAGGCAACTAAGCCACATAATTTCTTTTTAAAGAAAAAAGGAGGAGGAAATTAATAGTTAAGGAAATCTGATGAAACAGTACTTTACAATATTCTCTTTGTGGAAAAGGAAAAACATCTCATGACTAGACATCACATGTGCTTTATGTGCTCCTAGAGAACATCACACTCTGAGACTTCATGCTGAAATGGAGAAAACATCCATCATGAGGTTTTCTTATAAATTTGGTAAAAGTTAATTCCCCAAGCTCTTTCATATCAGTACACTTAAGGTGAGGGCCAGGAATGCGAGTATAATAAAGATCACCCTAATGGCAAGAGTTAACCTCTGGCTAGAGAATGGTAAAAAGGCAGGGTGAACTGAGGTTAAAGATATCAGTCACCAAAATACAGCAAGTATTATAGTTGAAACTGTGTATGTTTTCTTGGCAGGAGGTGGTGGGGAGGGATGGGAATGACACTTATCTGGCCTCAGAGCCTACCAGGCCTAGACAGTTCTCTTTTCTTCCTGTAACACTCAGGCTTCTGAAGTGGTAAGTCTATGTACAAGGGAGGAGATCAAGACAACTCCCTGATTCTTTTCATCTTCCCTCTATGAGAAAGATGCCTAGCCAGTTGCCATAATCTGAGTGACACTTCAGCTGGATAGATGCTAAGCACCAAGGGCAAACACGACTTCTGTTCCTCTGGTACTGGTATATGTGTTCGATTTGGTTTACAGGAAAAACAGTGTACTGCTTGGTTTACTTCAGTTCACCAGTATTTTCTATTTTGAGCTTTTGGGGCAAAAGTATAGTTAACAAAGTGCTGCTTTGCTTTCCCATGCCTTTATTCTTTGTACATTTTTCTATCTTGGGAGCTTCATCCTAATGAGATGCTGAAGCCTGCACCAGGAAATATAGGATATGATGATTAGAGAGCCCCCTGGACATAACCCTATCTTGATTACTTCTAACTGAAAACATGAAAATAAAAGAGGAAACTGTACAGGCAAAATGAACAGAGGAAGAATGGTACTGGGCTTAGAAAAGTTCAGGGAAATTCATGTGGTTATCCATCCATTCATTAATAAATGTTTACTAAGTTCTTAAATGGATAAGGCACCATGCAAAGCACTAAGGATATAAAGTTGAATAAATTAGTTTCCCCCTCAAGAAGCTTACAGGGTAATGGAAGAGGCACACATACAAACTGAATATAAAATAACCTGCTAGATAAAAGGAGATACTACACAAAATGCTATCACCATCCAAGAGGTTGCTGCATTGGGGGGATGGCTTCAGGAAAGGCTTCCTGAAAGTGCTGATAACTAAGTTGAATTAGAAAGAATGAATAAGCTAGCCAAGAGAAGTAAGGGGAGAGGAGGGTGACTATTGTTCTAGGTAGAGGGTCCAGAATGAACTTAAAGTGTGGACTTGAGAAAAGTCTGTGGCTGTGCATGAAGGGGAGCCACATGCACTTCAATATCACCATAGCATGAAGTACCTTGCCTAGTGGCAAAAGGAATTATTCTAGAAAGGTACACGGGGACTAGATCATCAAAGAGGGAATATGTTTCACTTATGGATCTTGTTTTTTTAATCCTTGAACACTGATTTCCAAACCATATTTCACTGAGCCTTAGAGTTCTATAGGGAGCAATGCAGTTGATAAAAGGAGCAGAGGATGGGGCCAGTGCTGTGGCATCCCATATGGGTGCTGGTTCAAGTCCTGGCTGCTCCACTTCCAATCCGACTCTCTGCTACGGCTTGGGAAAGCAGTAGAGGATGGCCCGGGTCCTTGGGACCCAGCACCCGTGTGGGAGACTGGGAGGAAGCTCCTGGCTTCAGATTGGCACAGCTCTGGCCATTGCAGCCATCTGGGAGGTGAACCAGCAGACAGAAGATCTCTCTCTCTCTCTCTCTCTCTCTCTCTCTCTCTCTGCCTCTCCTTCTCTCTCTGTGTAACTCTGACTTTCAAATAAATAAATATCTAAATATTTAAAAAAATAGGATTAGAGGAGACTGAAGGGTAGTTGAGTGAATAACACAAGTACTTTCAACCCAAGCAACTCAGGTTTTTGTTTCTTTTATGTTTTATGACATACTCAGAAAGTTTTTATTTATTGCCTCTCATGTACGAGACACTCCCAAATGCTAGGAATACACAGACAGATATGATCCTTACATGGAGAAAATGGCACTGGTACTGAGTTCTGCCGGAACTGTTAATCTTGTAGAGGTAAAAGTAAAAGCAAGAGAGAAGTTATTCCAGACAGAAGAAACAGTATGTACAATGGCTCTCAGGAACAGAGAATAAGGCCGATCTAGGAATTATAGACGTTCTTCATAGCTGGAACATGAAGTGTGAAGGGGCAATGATGAGAAACAAAGCTGAAGATAGATAGGGTCAGGAGCCTGATCACAAGGAGCCTTGTGAGCTGTAATAATGAGGCTGGTAATGGGAAGCCCCTGAAGAATTATAATGAGAAGAACAACATACCCACACCCACACCTTAAAAAGAGGAGATTTAGGGCCGGCGCCGTGGCTCACTAGGCTAATCCTCTGCCTTCGGCGCCGGCACCCCGGGTTCTAGTCCTGGTTGGGGCGCCGGATTCTGTCCCGATTGCTCCAGTCCAGCTCTCTGCTGTGGCCCGGGAAGGCAGTGGAGGATGGCCCAAGTCCTTGGGCCCTGCACCCGCATGGGAGACCAGGAGGAAGCACCTGGCTCCTGGCTTCAGATCGGCGCAGTGCGCCAGCTGCAGCACGCCAATCATAGCGGCCATTTGGGGGGGGTGAACCAATAGAAGGAAGACCTTTCTCTCTGTCTCTCTCTCTCTCTCACTGTCTAACCTGTCAAAAAAAAAAAAAAAAGAGGAGATTTAGGTTGACAATTAAGGATAAACTGATAAGACTGTAGTGAGCCTACACTGAAGACAGAGAGACTAGTTTCAAAGTTATTGTAGAAATTAAGGAAGAGATACTGATTACCTACATGAGGATCATGATATTGGTACTAGAGTTAATGGATTTCGGAGTTATTTAGGAAGTACAGAAGCCAGAACTTATTAACTGATTGAATACAGGAGGTGCCAGAGAAGGAGATATTGAGAAGGAAGCCCTAGATGTTTATTTACATAACAGGAGAACAGTGTGTCATTTAATGACACAGGTACACAGGAGAAAAACAGGTATGAGTAATGCAGTACCAGAGGGTGCAGCTGATTAATTTTAAACATGTTGAGTTTATACATGTGAAACATCCAAGGGGGACAAAATTAAAGGAAGCTGAGATAGATTGAGGAGTCATTAGAAAGCCCTGAGACGGGTCAAGAATCATATATAAAGAGAAGACAATCTAGAATATAACCTACAGACATTCCAACATATAAGGAATGTGCAGATAAATAAAAGCCTGGGATTTGAATGGGGGTGGAGGGATTCTTGTCTCACAACTTATCTATTCTCTGTGGTGTAGAAGTTGAGCACATCTGAGAGTGGGAAACTGACAAATACCAGAATATCACGATTATCAGGCATGAAGTAACAGACCAAGAATCAGGCTGAAAGATAAGAGGTAGGGGATGAACGCAGAGAAGGTTGGAATAGTGGTTGAAAAGAATGAAATTCTGGCTAATGATAAGAATGAGGCCTAAAAGAGGAACCAGTAGACATAGCTGAGTTGGAGTCCATGGATTTTCAGTACTACCACTTTGTTGTTTTTTTTTGTTTGTTTGTTTGTTTGTTTGTTTTTTGACAGGCAGAGTGGATAGTGAGAGAGAGAGACAGAGAGAAAGGTCTTCCTTTGCCGTTGGTTCACCCTCCAATGGCCGCCATGGCTGGCGTGCTGCGGCCGGAGCACTGCGCTGATCCGAAGGCAGGAGCCAGGTGCTTCTCCTGGTCTCCCATGGGGTGCAGGGCCCAAGCACTTGGGTATCCTCCACTGCTTCCTGGGTTACAGCAGAGAGCTGGCTGGAGAGGGGCAACAGGACAGATCTGCGCCTACGGGACTAGAACCCGGTGTGCCGGCGCCGCTAGGTGGAGGATTAGCCTAGTGAGCCACGGAGCCGGCCCCACTTTGTTATTTGTATGATTTTTCCCCAGTAGCTTTTAGGAGGCCATAAATAGCATTGGAAAATGAATACTGTAAGATTGATCAGGGCTATGGTTTTTCTGGTTAGTGTATCAGAAGTATGGTATAAAGGTGACTGAAATATTTAGATGATCAACCATGAGATGGGGAAGGGCAGACTAGGAGAAAATAGACAAGTTCAACAGGAAGAAAAAGAAAGCTGAAATAATGTGAAATAATTCTAGAGAGTAGAATATCGGAAGTTTTTATATCTGAGTTAGAATACTCCTAAAATTTGGTCCTTAGTGGGAGGGGCTAAAGTAAAGGTAGCCCAAAAGGTCACTAAACATATGGATACACAAGAATTCTGAGACATCTACATCAGTGTTGAAATTTAGCAGGATTTAGAGAGGAAGAGCAAAGCTGTGTGTGACCCAAGCCTCGAAGTCTTCAATGAATGAAATAGAGAAAACAGGTGCTCAATGCAGTCAAATAGCGTACATTTAAAAAGAGTAAGTCTTATTATGGGAGAAGACGACTAATTAACTTTGTATCTTTGCTACATACATTGAAAAGCAAGGTCTACCTTTATGACTACATGGGATGCCAATTAGAAGAAGTATTAGAAAACACACAGGATTATTTTCCACATAGAATCAACTCAAAGTTAAGCGACCAGAGAACATACAAAGGTGCTTCACATTAGGACTTCATATCATATTGGATGATGACACTGGAGAGTAAAATTATCACCTCAGACTTTCCACTCAAGGAGGCTAGGACAAGGCTGAAATCATTGAGAGAGCTAAGGAAGGTGGAAACAATCTGCTTCTGTTGAGAAAGGTCAAGGATAGGATGGATGGAGACAGAAGAGGTCAGGTTTAGACTTGAAGTATAAGTGATGGAGACGTTTCATAGGTATTTGGATTGGAATTCTTTTTTTTATTTTTTATTTTTTTATTTTTTGACAGGCAGAGTGGACAGTGAGAGAGAGAGACAGAGAGAAAGGTCTTCCTTTGCCGTTGGTTCACCCTCCAATGGCTGCCGCGGCCGGCGCGCTGCGGCCGGCGCACCGCGCTGATCCGATGGCAGGAGCCAGGAGCCAGGTGCTTTTCCTGGTCTCCCATGGGGTGCAGGGCCCAAGCACCTGGGCCATCCTCCACTGCACTCCCAGGCCATAACAGAGAGCTGGCCTGGAAGAGGGGCAACCGGGACAGAATCCGGCGCCCCAACCAGGACTAGAACCTGGTGTGCCGGCGCCGCTAGGCGGAGGATTAGCCTAGTGAGCCGCGGCGCCGGCCCTGGATTGGAATTCTTACAGGTCAGTCCAGTGTTTTGCACAGAGTTGATGCTCCAAAATTTAGGTTGATTGTAAGGAACAGAAATAAAGGCTTGGAGTACTCTCCAAAGATGTAATAGTTCAAACCATGGAAGCAGATGTATTATGAGGTAGGCAGCCTTAGCAAATAATTCAGGGCATAAATGCAAAAGAAACAAGAGTACAATATTAATACAGAGTCACTAAGAAGACATGAAAAGAAAGGAAGCTAGTGGGAAAAGTGGCCAGAGAGAGTGGTCAGAGAGAAAACATAGATAAGGAAGCCAAAATGTCATGAAAACTATAAGAAAAGAGATTTCCAAAATAAGGAGTGGTTACAAATGTCAAATAATATTTTGGAGTCCTCTGACATATAAGCATAACATTCATTTGTTTATGACTCTAACAGTAATTTGAAACTAAGCTGAACTAAGTTCATTGCATACTGCTTGAAACCCAACAAAATGCAAGATGAAGAAGCCATAATTCACTGGCCAAAAGCCTCTGCCCCTAACCAGACCTTCAATACAAAGTTTCTGCCACTGGGAATAAGGATACATACCTTGAACCACAACATCTGGCTTTGGTACTGTAGAGAACCTACGATTCAGTGGATCAATTTCTCCAGGAGCTAAAAATCCCTACAGAAAAATCACAAAGATACAGATTATTAATTCTCCAAAAAGGCCAATGGTTAAGGGAAAACAACATTCTGATGTCTATAACCCTACCCCATAATGTGAGAGGCAGGTACAGAAAGAAATAATTATCTTATAATGAAAATAATTATCTTAAATGAAAATATTTGAACTCCATGAATTCACATCCAAATTAGTTTCATCAGGAGTTAATTTCTAGTGGCTGTCATGGATCCTTTTTAAATAAGTGGGATATAAAAGATAAATACACAAAGTTTCCTGGTTATTCCTTTATCTTCTTTATATATATATGTATGTATGTATATCAAATTAGATGATCAGAGGACAATTCTTATTATCAATAACTAATGCCATTAGTTCTGCTATTTTCTCATTTGGTCATTTATCTGCTGTGCTCTCTGCTCTTAGAAATCTTGTTACTTGATGAGATAAACTCATCTACTTTGCCCTTATGAACACCTCTCTCACTCACCTTTTTTCATTGCACTAATTTATTCTAAGTAAAGGTGAAGGTCACTAAGGATAATTGTAAAGCATTCTGCCCATTATTACTACATTCATGTTAATGTTAACTAATGATAATCAAACAAACATGACCACAGAAAAATAAAACAAACAAATAAAAACAGCTGCATAAAATAAACTGTCATACATAAACAGGTCAAAAGGCTTGGATCAGAAAGGATAGTTAATGGGCCTGGCATTGTGACTTAATGGATAAAGCCACCATCTGTGATGCCAGCATCCCATATGGATGCTGGTTCTTGTCCCAGCTGCTCCACTTCCAATTCAGCTCTCTGCTAATGGCCTGGGAAAAGCAGTGGAAGATGACCCAACTGTTTTGACCTCTGCCATCCACATGGGATACTTAGATGGAGTTCTTGGCCACTGGTTTTGGATTGGCCCAGTTCTGGCCATTGTAGCCATCTGTGGAGTGAACCATCAGATGGAAGATCTCTTTCCCTCTCTGTAACTCTGACTTTCAAACAAGCATTTTTTTACAAAGAAAAGACAGCTAAGTCCCAAATTAGACTCTCAAGTAGCCTGAGCTGTAACTTATCAAAATAATCCACAATGGGGAAATATATTTTTCAGAAAATCTGGAAAACTTTTCAGAAATTGAGCCCTTCTGTGTAGGCTCAAAATGTCACACACGCAAGAAAACTAGACACAAAGTCAGAATTGCTTCATTAAGAGATGTCTCAACAGAATTTCATACTTACCCAAAACCAAACAAATAGAAACCAAAAAACACCCCAACCAATTGAACAAAAACCCAGGATGTTCCCAACCAGTCGACATGGTGCCTAAAGTGATCAGCTAATTCAATTAAATAATGAAACACTATGTTGCCTGGAAAGGGTGGCCCTTCACCCATTGTAAATGGTGTTATCTAAGCACAATTGAATTTGTTAGTTACCAGGCAAGGCACTGAGGGGAGGTTTGAAAGGGAAGGCTAAAGTGCCTGATTCCGGAGTAGTTCCAAGTACAGTGCCAAAGTAGGGAGCCCTGGGCAGCATGAGAGATGTGGTTGCCAGGGGCAAGAAATTTTTACTGAGGGTTGGCCATGCTCCCTACTCTGAGGATCTAGAGGAAAAACTGTAATTAAGGCAATGTAGAAAATGCGAAAACATCCTTCAGATTTAATGAGCCACTCACAAATCTGATTATTAAGGTAACTAAGGCAGAAAAAGTGGGGCAGGCTTGCAGTTTCCATACCTCTGCCATCAAGCTTCCTAAAATGTATAGAGACTGACCCCACATGTGAGGCAACTTCCCCATGGGGACTCGGTCCACGGTGTGAGGATTCTGATACTCTTCATCAACCTAAAAGAAAAGACGAAGAGACCAAATGAGGGGTAATAGGAAGTTTAAGATACTGACAAAAAGACTGAGTCTGGGTTGTGATTCATACCCTATGCAATAATGTATGCACAGCACTAAAACATCAAGCACTATAACTGTAGGCTAGGGCACTGCTCCTCACACTGTAATATGCATACAAACCATCTGAGAATCTTGTTAAAATGCAGATTCTGACTGAATAGGTACGAGGTAGGGCCTGAAATTCTACCCATGCCCACCAGAATGGAAGACTGTAACTCTCCCATGTTTATTGGTCTTTCACAATGGAGAAGATGAACAAACGTACACCCAATGGGCATTTTCAGAAAAAGAAGACAAGGAGGACATGCTTCAATTTCCAAGCCTGACCTACTTAAATAATCCCAGATTCCTGGCCTCAAAGTAGAGAACACCAAATCCTAAGAGCTCAGAAAGAACATCACCCTAGTTCTACCAAATGATCTCCACTTTGATCTTGTCCTTGTGCCATTGTGCAACACTGTGGTAACTGACACTCCTTCAAAATTTTATTTTTAAAGGAAAAATAATCCATTTATTGCCCTGTACCTAAGAGAAACTTTTAGAACATTAAAATCCGAAGATTAAAAATTATTTGATGCAAATGAGGTAATAGGATTAAAGTACTGCTCCTCTTCTGTCTCTTCCACATTGTGGCACTGTCCAACTCACCTTGTCAGGAGGAACACTGTAGAGCTCTGGCAGAAGTGGGACCCCATTTTTGCCCTTGATGAGAACTGCTTCAAGAGCCTCTCTATACTCTTGAACCTGAAGATAAAAGGCAGAAAAACAAATTAAGAAATTTTCCTTGAGAACCTAGGAGAGAGCCTATAGTCAAAGAAGGTCCTATTGCAAAGAAGCTCATTCACTAAGTAAGTGGGGCAGGGAAGGGAAAAACATTTGCTCAATGAGTTTTATAAGCCAAATATTATGCTAGGAGTTTCATACAGCGCGATCTATTAAATTTTTTTTTTCTTTTTTAACTTTTATTTAGTAAATATACATTTCAAAAGTACAGTTTATGGATTACAATGGCGTTTTCCCTCCCATAATTTCCCTCCCACTCGCACCCCTCCCATCTCCCGCTCCCTCTCCCATTCCATTCACATCAAGATTCATTTTCAATTATCTTTATATACAGAAGATCAATTTAGTATATATTAAGTAAAGATTTCATCAGTTTGCACCCACACAGAACATAAAGTGTAAAATACTGTTTGAGTACTAATTATAGCATTACTTCACATTGGACAACACATTAAGGACAGGGATCCCACATGAGGAGTAAGTACACAGTGACTCCTGTTGTTGACTTAACAATTTGACACTCTTGTTTATGGCGTCAGTGATCTCCCTAGGCTCTAGTCATGAGTTGTCAAGGCTATGGAAGCCTTTTGAGTTCACTGACTTTGATCTTTTTTTTTTTTTCCACCATGTATTTCCTTTTTAAAAATTTTTTTTAATTTTTTATTTAGTAAATATAAATTTCCAAAGTACAGTTTATGGATTACAATGGCTTTTTCCCCCCATAACTTCCCTCCCACTCACACCCCTCCCATCTCCCGCTCCCTCTCCCATTCCATTCACATCAAGACTCATTTTCAATTATCTTTATATACAGAAGATCAATTCAGTATATATTAAGATTTCATCAGTTTGCACCCACACAGAAACACAAAGTATAAAATACTGTTTCAGTACTAGTTATAGCATTACTTCACATTGGACAACACACTAAGGACAGATCCCACATGAGAAGTAAGTACACAGTGACTCCTGTTGTTGACTTAACAATTTGACACTCTTGTTTATGGCGTCAGTGATCTCCCTAGGCTCTAGTCATGAGTTGTCAAGGCTATGGAAACCTTTTGAGTTCGCCGACTTCGATCTTATTCTGACAGGGTCATAGTCAAAGTGGAAGTTCTCTCCTCCCTTCAGATAAAGGTACCTCCTTCTTTGATGGCCCCGTTCTTTCCACTGGGATCTCACTCGCAGAGATCTTCCATTTAGGTCTTCTTTTTTTTTTTTTTCAAGGTGTCTTGGCTTTCCATGCCTTAAATACTCTCATGGGCTCTTCAGCCATATCCGAATGCCTTAAGGGCTGATTCTGAGGCCAGAGTGCTATTTAGGACATCTGCCATTCTATGAGTCTGCTGTGTATCTCGCTTCCCATGATGGATCATTCTCTCCCTTTCTGATTCTATCAGCTAGTATTAGCAGACACTAGTCTTGTTTGTGTGATCCCTTTGACTCTTAGACCTATCAGTGTGATCAATTGTGAACTGAAATTGATCACTTGGACTAGTGAGATGGCATTGGTACATGCCACCTTGATGGGATTGTATTGGGATCCCCTGGCATGATTCTAACTCCACCATTTGGGGCTAGTCTGATTGAGCATGTCCCAAATTGTACATCTCCTCCCTCTCTTATTCCCACTCTTATATTTAACAGGGATCACTTTTCAGTTAAAATTTAAACACCTAAGAATAATTGTGTGTTAATCACAGAGTTCAACCAATAGTACTAGAACAAAAAAAAAGAGAAAATACTAAAATGGATAAAGTATTACATTGTACATCAACAGTCAGGACAAGAGCTGATCAAGTCACTGTTTCTCATAGTGTCCATTTAAATTTTAATAACCTTAGCTCATCACCTGTTCTGCATTGCCAATGAAGAGCCCATCAAAGATAAACTATGTCTAACACAATAGCCATTTATGATCAATCTTTTCAATAGCTCCAGCTCAGCTAGTTCATGATATAGTATGTGTAATTAAGGCCTTTTTTGCAGGGAAATTAAGACTCAAAGAGATCATAAACTTGCAGAAGATCACAGAACAAGTACATAATCAAGTCCAGAGTTTAGCCCAAGTCAGCATGCCTTCAAAGGCCTCATCAAATATGTTCTACCTTAAGTATAGCTGCTTGACTTAAGGATGTATTGACACTGCACTATGGTTAAGTCCATCTTCTTTGCTTCACAATTTCCTGAAGTTACATAAAATGCGGAAACAAAAACATCTGTATCTTATGGTGGAAAAATACTCAATCAGCTGAACTGAAGTGCATACAAACACATAAAACACACACATGCACACACCTCAGGAACACATGAACCACACCCATCTGCATCTTCTCTTACACATTTCCTTCCAATTTCAGAACCCTCCCTGCATTTCTTTATGTCTTACAAGCTGCAATCCTCTGGTGGCCACATTGGCTGCAAGACTGTGCTTCTTCTCTCTTTAATTTATCCCCTTCATTCATCTCAAACTATTTTTTATTTCTCCTCTCTGTTCTAAGTTCCTTTTCACTATTTTTATCTCTATTTTGTTCTTTTCCTCTTGTACACAGGCTGGTGGGCAAGGAGCCATGTGGGTGATCTATCGGGAACATGAGTACACACTTCCAAAGGCAAACCTCAGGTCTTTTTCAAGGTAAAACCCATAATTATTGTGGTCTTTAGGTATTTCTTAACCTTTTAATATGTAAAAATTGTTACTGTTTTCATTGGGTTCCTATCTATTTGTGTTTTTTATAAACATTTTAAGTGCTGTGCTCCTTATCCCATTTTCCTACAAGCTCCATTGTTGTTATTTCTTGAATATGCATAGCATGGTGATTTTTAAAGAAATGTACCTGTCTCATTACAGCAGAATGGACTGTACCTTGTACTTAACAAATTGTCTCTACTTGTGAAATGTAAAGAATTGTAATGCCATCTTCTTTAATGAGGAGAGAAAAACTATTCAAATTTTATATACAGAAAAACTGAAGAAGCCAGTGATGATTCCTGGGCTACTCAATGGTTAGGTGTAAAGAAACAAAGGAATCCAGGGGGGTTGGCATTGTGGCACAACAGGTTAAGTTGCCACCTGTGATGATGTCATCTCACACTGGAGCCAGATTCGAGTCCTGAATGTTCCACTCTGACCCAGCTACCTGCGAATGTGCCTGGGGAAGTAGCAGAAAATGACCCAAGTGCTTGTGCCCCTGCTAACCCCATGTGGGAAATCTAGATGACATTCCAGGCTCCTGGCTTTGGCCTGGCCCAGTTCTGAACATTGTGGCCACTTAGAGAGTAAACCAGAAGATGGAAGAACTCTTTCTCTCTGTCTCTCCTTCAGTCTTAAATTTGCTTTTCGAACACATAAAATAAATCTTGGGGCTGGCACTGTGGAGTAGCAGGTAAAGCCACTGCCTGCAGTGCCAGTACCCCATATGAGCACCGGTTTGAGTCCTGGCTGTGCCATTTCTGATTCAGCTCTCTGCTATGGCCTGGGAAAGCAGTAGAATATAGCCCAAGTCCTTGGGCCCCTGCAGCCATGTGGGAAGACCTGGAGGAAGCTCCTGGCTCCTGGCTTTGGATCAGCCCAGCTCCGGCCGTCACAGCCATTTGGGGGAGTGAATCAACAGATGGAAGACCTCTCTCTCTCTCTCTCTCTCTGCATAACTCTGACTTTCAAATAAATAAATAAATCTTTAAAAAAGAAAAAAAAAGCATCCAGATTTCTCAACTCTTAACTTAGTACCCTCAGCTATTAATCTCCAGGAGACAATTCTGTCTCTTCCTTACCAGGAATCCTTTCATTTGGATACAGGGTTGGTACAGCTAGTAACTGAAAGAGGACATAATGAGAACATTCTGCAGAAAAGCTCCTTCCTCAGCTCATTACCTGTTCTGCATTGCCACTGAAGACCCCATCAAGGATAAAGTAAGTCCAGAACAATGGCCATTCACACTCAATGTTTTCGAACAGCTTCAGCTCAGCTGGTTCATAGTATAGACGATTGGGATCCTGGTGGGAATATAATAAACAAAGTCTGTCTTATCACTCAGAGGTTAGATGTTCATCTTTAATTCAAAGGCACTAAAATGTGGCCTTTCACTATTGATAGTGTGTTTTAGAGCTGACACCAGGGAAGACATCATATGTACATACTTTCCTCCCTCAGCCAATATTCTGTGATGTGACTTCTAATTAGTGCCACTGGGACAATAATGACATCACAAGAGGGTGTGTAAGAATTAAGATTGGTTTGCAACAAAACTGAGTTTAGTTTATACTTACTATGTTTGAAGTAGTAGTGGGACATACAAATGGCATGAACTACAATATCCATTTGTTTAGAGGGGCATCTAGAAATGAGAGTTTGGGTATCATTCTTATGGGGATGACACATAAAGCACAAATTACAGATGAACTTTGTGAGATAGTACCATATAAATGAGAAAACTGTCCAAGAATGGAATCTTGATAAACCCTCAAAATGGGATGAGGAATGAACAGAAAGAAAAGAATTTGGATAGTACTGTATTGTGGAAATTAAAATAGGAAAATATTTTCAAGAAGATATGGGATTGGAAATAGTGATGTATTGTAGAGAAGTCAAGGAGAATAAAAATTGAGAAAAGACTATTGGGTTGGTCATTTAGCAGCTTATGATGATGCTTTAGCAGGGGTGGGGAATGCCCAGCCTGCAGGCCATATAAGGTCCACAAAACCATCTGGTCTGGTCCTGCCAAGGCAACTGCAAGTGAGACTCAAAATTCAATACATCTATAACAGGCTAATTTTTAAGTTGATAATTTTGTATGGCCTGCGAATGATGAAAATATTCAATGACTCTTGACAGAAAAAGGTTCCCAATTCCTGCTTTAGAGCACAATTTCAGTAGATTGGCAGGGGCAGCAGTCAAATTCAGAGATAAAGAATTAAGTGGAAGAGAGGAAGTAGATCAAAAGAGTTTGAGATCAATGATCTTTAAAAGTCATAATGGCTTTTGACCAGCATTACCAATGAAAGTGCTTCTTTATTGACCATTCATTTCCTTTAATAATACTCGATTTTCTCCACTGACTTTTCTGAGAACTTTTGATAACAGAATAAAAGGAACTTATATTCTCAAGAACAAGTACTGCTTAGAAGCTAACAAACTGCAAAAAGTGGAAAATGGTCAGAAAGATCTATTGATAGACTTTGTCCATTGTTATTATTAAATATTTGGAGGTAGATTGTTTGAGACTATGCAAATATTCTGTTTCTACTTAAACTTTCATTTACTAACTCTAGAATCCATCAGTAGTTCTTTCCTGAAACTAATCAACTGCAGGGATCGGAAGGGCTTCACCGTCCTCTGTTTTATTTAATCCTAAAAGGTCCACAACCTGAGAAGTTGGCAGCTAAGCCCAACAAATATGACAAACCTCAGTTATCATTATCTTATTTAGCGATTTACGTAAGTACCATTAGTAAGGTAAGTATTTTCTCTGAATGAGGCTGCAGGTAGTGATGACCATTCTATCTTGAGTTCATTTTGGAGAAAAGAAACATACCTCTTTAGGGGTTTTATACCCATCACGGAGAAAACGACAGCAACCGTAACGACCCTGGCAATGCAGAGAAGAAAGGTCAGAAGATTATAAATTGGGACAGAGATAATAATTAATTGGAAATACAGCCTTTGCAACATCTATATGTGTTTACCTATCATTTATACATATAGGATACCCCAAAACAGAAACAAAAATCCTGAAATCAGTCTAGCAGCAGAGACTGATTTGGGGTGAGGAGTAAGTTACAGGCTCTTCCCTCAAGCAGTGTTCCGAATAAGTATCCTCTCCATGACTCTCCACCTTAGGGTGGATAGAAGGTTTAACAGCTTTTTATAGAAACTCCATATGAATGATAACTTGGAAAATGTAAACATTTCTTGAAATCACCAACACAGGTGATACTCAATTAATTTCCCTTCAAAGTCATAGCATTAAAGAAAAGAGAGGCACATATGGACTTACCTGAAGCTTGGTGATGATCTCCTGCTTTGTGATCTCCACCAACTTGCTATCCTCTACTGCAAAGGCTGGGAAGGAGATCACTGAAAGTAGACTAGCATCAACTTCTTTGGATGTTGAAGCCCGGGGTAGTAGGGAATTAAGGATAGACTAAAAGAAATTAAGTTAAATGTGGCCCATTATTAAACACCTTGGTATTGTAAAACCAGTAACTTTAATTTTTTTTTATTTTATTTATTTATTTATTTATTTTTTTTGACAGGCAGAATGGACAGTGAGAGAGAGAGAGACAGAGAGAAAGGTCTTCCTTTGCCACTGGTTCACCCTCCAATGGTCACTGCAGCCAGCGCGCTGCGGCCGGCGCACCGCGCTGATCTGATGGCAGGAGCCAGGTGCTTCTCCTGGTCTCCCATGGGGTGCAGGGCCCAAGCATTTAGGCCATCCTCCACTGCACTCCCTGGCCACAGCAGAGAGCTGGCCTGGAAGAGGGGCAACCGGGACAGAATCCGGCGCCCCGACCGGGACTAGAACCCGGTGTGCCGGCGCCGCAAGGCGGAGGACTTTAATTTAAAAGCATTTATGTGGGCATGGACATTTGGCCTTAGTGGTTAAGTCATGAGTTGGGAAACCTGCATTCCATACCAGAATGCCCTGGGTTGGACTCCCAGCTCCACTTTTTTTTTTTTTTTTTGGCAGGCAGAGTTAGACAGCGAGAGAGAGAGAAACAGAGAGAAAGGTCTTCCTTCCATTGGTTCATCCCCCAAATGGCCACTACGCCTGGCACACTGTGCTGATCTGAAGCCAGGAGCCAGGTGCTTCCTCCCATGTGGATCTCCCATGCGGGTGCAGGGCCCAAGGACTTGGGCCATCCTCCACTGCCTTCCCAGGCCACAGCAGAGAGCTGGACTGGAAGAGGAGCAACCGGGACAGAATCTGGCACCCCACCGGGACTAGAACCCAGGGTGCCAGCGCCGCAGACGGAGGATTAGCCAAGTGAGCCATGGTGCTGGCCAGCAGCTCCACTTCTTATTCTGGTTTCCTGCTAATATGCACCTTGGGAATAACCAAGTGATGCCTCAAATACTTGGTTCTCTGTCCCTCACATAGCAGACCTGGACAGAGTTCCCAGGTTCCAGCTTTGCTCTGACCCAGGCCAAATCATTTGGTCTGGCCCTGCTAAGGCAACTGCAGTTGGGACTAGAAACTCAATAAATCTATAGGAGGCTAACTTTTAAAAAGACAATTTTCTATAACCTGTGAATGATATCATAAATATCCAAGTGGCAATAAAAGGTTCCCCATCCCTGCTTTATCATCTTGGGTGAGAGAGCAAGGCTACAAAACATTTTATATCCAACACCATATTGGGCTTTAGTACAGGAGGCTTGATAAAGGTATTTCTTGGCACAAGGTAACAAATCACATGAAGTACTCTCCCTTATTCAGTTCTCCTTAATGTAAAGTCCATGGTGAATATGAGTGTGGGCAAGAATACAATTTGTTATAATGTGACCTATTGTTGCCTCACCTGGCAGTGTTGTACTTCATCAGCCAAGACATGGATAACTGATTGGGGCCCACCTTTCACACCAAACAGGTCAAGTTCATCTAATGCTTCCAGGGCTGCCTGTGAGGATTAAAGAAGGAAAGTACAATGTCAGTGTTCTATCAATACAAATTTATTCTTTCTGCACCTCTGTATCTTATCTATATGATTTCACTTTTCAATATGTTCAGTAGAACAGAAAATAGATTAGCACTCTCTTCTCAGAGGTTTCTGTGGGGTTTTATTGCCTCCCAAATTATCCCATAGAAAAAGTTAAGATGAAATTTGCACACTATCAAACAAGCATCACATTTATCAAACTTTAAAAATAATTTTAGCATGTTAGATGAATTTATAGTAAATCATTCTTTTGCCAGGGGAGCTCTAAGTAAGGTACCAGCATATTAAAAACACAAGAAGTATATGACTACAAGATAATGCAGCAACCATTAGGTACTGCCACATAGTTGAGTTTCCATAGGGAAGTGAATATCCTAGAAAGATATTATATTTGACTTAAAGATAAAGGTTATTAGTCACCAAGGCAAAGGAGTAGTTGCATGTTTTTTGAATGATATATTTCTATTAACTATAATCCCCTGCTATGCAATACATCAAGAAACTTATCCCTACTGTATATCTGAAACTTTGCACCCTTTCATCAACAACTCCCCATTGCCTCACTCCCCTCTAGCACCAGCAACCATTATTTTACTCTCTATTTACATGAGTTCAATTTTTAGATGACACATTAAAATGAAATTAACATGCTTTTAAAAACTATAATTTATTTCTTAACTTCTTTTATGAATATGTTTTCTGATCATAAAAGTAGAACACACTTGTTATAGGATATTTTGAAAACATAATAAGGTATAAAGAGGACACAAACTCAACTAAGGGGCCGACACTGTGGTATAGCGGGTAAAGTTGCCACCTGCAGTGCTGGCATCCTATATGGTCGCTGGTTTGAGTCCCGGCTGCTCCACTTCTGATCCAGCTCTCTGCTATGGCCTGGGAAAGCAGTAGAAGATGGTCGAAGTCCTCAGGCCCCTGCACCCATGTGGGAGACCCAGAAGAAGCTCCTGTTTCCTTGCTTCGGATCGGCCCAGCTATGGCCATTGCGGCCATTTGAGGATTGAACCAGTGAATGGAAGACCTCTCTCCCTCTCTCTCTCTGCCTCTGCTTCTCTGTAACTGCCTTTCAAGTAAATAATCTTTAAAAAAAAAACTCAGCTAAAACAACCACTGTTAACATTTTTGACATGTTTCCTTATTAGGTTTTTTTCTATGCATATTTCTATATAGTTGAGGTCACATTTGGTATCCTGCTTTTTGCAGTAAAAAAAATGCAGCATGAGTATTTTCATTTTGTACAAAAATTTCTTATGGATATATGAAAGTATATTTAACCATTTAACAATTGTTAGAAATGTAGTTTGATTTATTTTATTATTTTGTTTTTAAAAAGATTTATTTATTTTATTTGAAAGACAGAGTTACAGAGAAACAGAGCGAGGCAGAGAGAGAGGTCACCCATCTGTTGGTTCACTCCCCAAATGGTCGCAATGGCCCGAGCTGTGCTGATCCGAAGCCAGAAGCCAGGAGATTCTTCCAGGTCTCCCATACAGCTGCAGGGGCCCAAGAACTTGGGCCATCTTCTACTACTTTCCCAGGCCATAGCAGAGAGCTGGATTAGAAGTGGAGCAGCCAGGACTCGAACCGGTGCCCATATGGGATGTTGGTACTGCAGCCGGCAGCTTTACCCACCACACAACAGCGCTGGTCCTTTTTGTCTTTATTTTTTTAAAGAATATTTATTTAAAAGGCAGAGAGAGAGAGAGGGAGAAGGATAAGTAAAGATTGGTGTATTGTTATAAATGGAAGGAGCCTAAACAGACATTATGATATAATGTAATATCTTATCCTAGATTTGATCTTTCATCACTAGGATTTTTTATTATTGTAAGTGACATTATTGAGAAAATTAGGCCAGCGCCGTGGCTCACTTGGCTAATCCTTCGCCTGCGGCGCCAGCACCCCGGGTTCTAGTCCCAGTTGGGGCGCTGGGTACTAGCTCCGGTTGCTCCTCTTCCAGTCTAGCTCTCTACTGTGGCCTGGGAGGGCAGCAGAGCATGGCCCTGCACCTGCATGAGAGACCGGGAGGAATCACCCGGCTCTTGGCTTCGGGTCAGTGCAGCGCTGGCCGTAGCGGCCATTAGGGGAGTGAACCAATGGAAGGAAGACCTTTCTCTCTGTCTCTCTCTCACTGTCTGTAACTCTCTCTCTGTCTCTCACTGTCTAACTCTGACTGTCAAAAAATTAAAAAAAAAAGAAAAAAGAAAAAGAAAATTAAAGAAATTTAAATGGGGTCTGTGGATGAGGTAATAATATAATGTAATATAATAATATAATGTAAGCGTTCATTTCCTGACTTTTTAAATTACTTATTTATTTGAGAGGGAGGGAGGGAAAGGGAGAGAGAGAGAGTGAGAAAGAGCACACTCTTATCTGTGGTTTTACTTTCCAAATGGCTGCATGGCCAGGGCTGGGCTGACTGAAGACAAGAGCCAGGAACTCAATCCGGATTTCCCACATGGGTGGCAGTGACCCAACTACTTGAGCCATCACTGCTACCTCTCAGAGCCTGCCATTAGCAGGAAGCTAGAGTTAGGAGCTAGAGCCTTGGATCAAATCTAGGTACTCTAAGGTGGGATGCAGGTCAAATGCCTGATCCAATTTTCTGACTTTTGATGATGGTTATGGAAGAGTCTTTGAGAAAATTCACACTGAAATATTTAGGAGTATTGTGGCATCATATCTGTAATGTACTCTTCATTGGTTCAGAAAATGTAAAATTTGTGCATATGCACATGTGTGTACATGTGTCTAAGTTTGTAAATAGAGATTAATCAAATGTTGACAAGTGGGGAATGTAAGGAATTTTTGTACAGTTCTTGCAACTTTTGTGTAAGTCTCATATGATTTCAAAACAAGAAGTAAAAACAAAGTTTCAGTGGTTAAAACTTTTAAAGTCAAATATTCAGATAGCAAGGATTTGAGGAAAATGACTTATGAGGGGTCTTCAAAAAGTTCATAGAAAATGCATATTATGAACAAATTATGCATGGATTTCAAACTACTTCAAAGTGAATTTATTTTTAACTCCATTTTCCATATATCCATCATATATATGTATGAGGAATATGCAAACTAGTGGAAATTTTTTAGAGAGAAATTTGTGTGTGTGTGTGTATCTCCTAAGGGTTCCACTCTTAGGACTCTATCCTACAAAGATAATTATACAAGTCCACCAGGGTGCATGCAGAAGGACCCTCACTAAATTATTATTTGGAATAATTTAAAAATGGAGATAATGGCACCACAGAGCAATTATTAAATACTGTATGGTAACTGAAAAGAATAAACTGGATTAATCTGTATGAAATGCCATTGAAAGGAGTTGCTTATGCTGTTCAGTGAATTACAAGATTATTGAATGAAAAAAATCAGTTACACAGAAGTAGGTATGGTATAAACTCATTTAAAAAGGCAAACATAATACCTATACCACTTTGGTTATTTAAAAATACATTTAAAAGCTTACCAGGGGATAAACATTTTCTAAGTACAAAGTCCTAAATGTATTTCCTAATCCAACTGTATTGATTACATAATTCAAAATTTCTATGATCTTATTTTTGGTTTACTGCCTGCATCATAGGCTGACAATGCTTTTTAAATTTATTTCCTTATTTCCCTAATAACTGTTTTTGTTTTGCCCTGTTTTCTCATATATTTTGCCATGAATAGTTAAAACTACATTCAAGACCAGACTTTCTCAGTCGTGCCTTTTTTTTTTTTTTTTTTTGACAGGCAGAGTGGACAGTGAGAGAGAGACAAACAGAAAGGTCTTCCTTTGCCATTGGCTCACCCTCCAATGGCCGCCACGGCTGGCGCGCTGCGGCCGGCGTACCACACTGATCCGATGGCAGGAGCCAGGTGCTTTTCCTGGTCTCCCATGGGGTGCAGGGCCCAAGTACTTGGGCCATCCTCCACTGCACTCCCTGGCCACAGCAGAGAGCTGGCCTGGAAGAGGGGCAACCGGGACAGAATCCAGCGCCCCGACGGGACTAGAACCCGGTGTGCTGGCGCTGCAAGGCGGAGGGTTAGCCTAGTGAGCTGCGGCGCCGGCCTCAGTCGTGCCTTTCAAAATTCTATCATGGTCCTATTCTGTCCTCTTTGTTCCATGTGATACATATATATCTTTATTTATTTTATTCTGTTTAAGGAATACAACTTCATGAATTTAGTATATACAGATTTGAGAACATGATGATTCTTACTCCCCTACCTCCATTCCACCCATACTCCACCTTTCTTCTTCTTCCCTCTTCCTTTCTCATTCTTATTTTTTGTAGAGATCAATTTTTCATTTAATTTTATACCCATAAAATTAACCCTACACGTAGTAGAGAATGCAAATCCTTCATTTAACATTCACATAGTCATCATTGCTCTTTTTAAATTTATGTTTATCAGACTGTACTTTGCCCATCATTCTGTTTTAAATATTTCTGTATCATTTTGCTATATTAGAGTTCTGATAGGCAGTATACACTGGATTTCCTTTTTTCCAAGTCAATCTGTGTCTTTACCTTTTTGTAGAAGACATTAAACAATGCATACTTATCATATTGCACAGGTTTGATCCTATTCCTGCTATCCTAGTTTTTGCCTTCTTACTGTTTCCAGAGGTGATAAGAGCTGGTAGGATGAAAAAGCAAAGCCAAGTGGAGAGGTGTTCATGATGATGATGGATGATAATGATGATTTGGGGATGGAGACGGTTAAAGGGGTAGAGGATTGAGAGGTGGTTCTCAGGTGTTAAGCTTGTGTATCAAATCTGGAACTTATGGAAGTTTTCATCTACATATCCAAAATTCTTTGAGAAAATCTGACTCTTGCCTATGGTTTACACTTGATCTTAGCCAAAAGGCCGAGAAGTGATTGCCTATGGTTTAAAAGAATAACCAATGTGATGATGGTCCACATTGATATTAAGTTTTTATTCATAGCAAAAGTGCACTAGATTTCCTTACTCCATACTTGGTACAAACAAGAATGGAAAAATTACCTTTGCCATTCCTACTGAACTGGCATTCAGTTCTGATATCCCTTGGTTGGTCTTGTCTCCGCGTTCCCATATCCCGAAGTCCTGGCATAAAATAATACCATTAACAAGTCATTAACAATATACCATTAACAAGTCATAACTACTAAATACTTGCTAGATGCACAGCCTCTGAATAAAAGACACTAATTGGAGTTAATTTGCCATTTACAAGTATATCCCAAATGCTTATTAAGTAGATGGCAGTGAGTTATTTGGTCCCTGAAGCTACTTTCCCAATAGCTTTACATTCTAAGAGGGTTTTTAAAAAGTTCATGGAAAATACATATAATGAAGAATCTATGCATGGATTTCAAAAAAATATTTTTCACCAAAATAATATTTTAAAAAAACTTTCATTTTATTTGAAAGGCACACACACATGGAAAAAGAGGAGTGAGATTCAGAGAGACAGAGATCTCCCATCTGCTGGTTTACTCCCCAAATGGCCACAATGACCAGAGCTGGGCAGTCTGAAACCAGGAGCCAGGTCTTCCATGTGGGTGTAGGGGTCCAACCACTTGAGCCATCACCATCCCCTGCTGCTTTCCCAGGTGCATCAGCAGGGAGTTGGATCAGAAGTGGGGCAGCCAGGACTTGAATCAGCACCTATATGGGATGGTAGAGCTTCAGGTGGTAGCTTTATCTGTTATGCCACAGGGCCTGGATGTGAGCATCTTAATGGGGTTCTTAACCATTAGGCCAAATATCCACCCTGAACTTATCTTTCAATTCCATTTTCCTATGAAATTTTTAAAGTAACCATGAATTAGGGCCTCCAAAAGTTGGAAGACTCCTCAACAGTTAATCAAGAGTTATTAAGAACTATAACAGTCAATCTAGAGAGGCAATTCCCAAAATATTTCATCAAAGCAGTTTCCCAGGGGATCTAGGAGCCGGGGCTTAAAGAGAAGTCCAGTATTTTATATTAAACACCAATTCTAATTTTACTCTTTATTGACACTGACAACGTACCATGTACTAATTGATGCATTTTGTATCATTTTCTTCTTTAATTCTTATATTTTATAGATGATGAAACTGAGGTGCAAAGGGAGGGGTGGTTAAATGACTCACCCAAAGTCACACAGCTAGTAAATGACAGAGTCAAGGTCTAAATAATCTCACTCCAAAGCCTACTCCTTTTTTTTTTTAAAGATTTATTATATTTATTTGAGAGGCAGAGTTACAGAGAAAGAGAGGGAGATCCTCCACCTGCTGGTTCACTCCCACAGTGGCTGCGATGGTCAGGCCTGGGCCAGGTTGAAGCCAGGAGCCAAGAGCTTCATCCAGGTCTCCTACATGGGTGTAGGAGCCTAAGAACCCGGGCCATCTTCTGCTGCTTTCCCAGACACATTAGCACGGAGCAGGATCAGAAGCAGAGCAGCTGGGACTCGAATCAGTGCTCATTCCAGATTCTGGTGCCACAGGGGTTGGCTCAACCTGTTATACCACAATTTCAGCCCCGCAAAGCCTACTCTTTACCTTAGCTCTATGTATCAGCTCAGTAATGTAAAGATTACATTTAAAATACTTTTAAGAACTTTTTATTTTGAAATAACTTCAGACTTAGAAGCTACAAAAACAGTACAGTGAGTTCCCACATACTCTTCACTCAGCATCCTCTGTTATTAACATCTAATGTAACAATAGTACAATTGTCAAAGTTAAGAAATTAACATCACTACAATTTCATTAACTAAACTAAAAACTTGAATTGGATTTCACTGGTTTTTACACTAATGTCCTTTTTACATTCCAGGATCCAATATAGAATTCCATGCTGCATTTGTCTTGTTTCCTTAGTCTCTTCCAACCAATGACAATTCTTTTAAGTCTTGTGTTTAAGGACATTGACAGTTTTTGCAGACTAGTGATCAAGTAGGTTGCAGATTTCTCTTAATTTGGGATTGATCTTTGTTTTCACATGATCAGACTGAAGTTAGGCATTTTTGGCAAGAATATGTATTGAAGACATTATGCTATGCCATTCTTACTGTATCATATTAGGGGTATGTGGTGCTGATATGTCTTATTAATGGTGATATCATCCTTGGTTAAGGATAACCTTAACCTTATATCCTTGGTTAAGGAAACCTGTGTGTCAGGTTTCTCCATTCTACTTCTAGTGTTTTTTCCTTTGTAACTAATAAGCATCTTGAGAGAGACATTTTAAGACTATGTGTATATAAATATTCTGTTTCTCTTCAAACATCCACTTATTAATTCAATATTCACTGGTGAATATTGCCTGCAACAATTATTCCAGTTATGGTGTTGTTTTTTTTTGACAGGCAGAGTTAGACAGTGAGAGAGAGAGAGAGAGAGAGACAGAGAGAAAGGTCTTTTTCCTTTGGTTCACCCCCCCAAGTGGCCGCTACAGCCGGCACGTTGTGGCCGGCGTGCTGCGCCGATCCGAAGCCAGGAGCCAGGTGCTTTTCCTGGTCTCCCATGGGGTGCAGGGCCCAAGCACCTGGGCCATCCTCCACTGCACTCCCGGGCCACAGTATAGAGCTGGACTGGAAGAGGGGCAACCGGGACAGAATCCGGCGCCCTGACCAGGACTAGAACCCGGTGTGCCGGCGCCGCTAGGTGGAGGATTAGCCTAGTGAGCCACGGCGCCGGCCTCCAGTTGTGTTTTAAGGGTGATTTTCTAGTGTCTTCATTACTTCTATAGTCATTAATTGCAATTTTTCTCTAAGGAAGAGAAGCTGTTTGAGGATAAACAGAATATTTAGAGATACTACATATTGTTCTGTGGCTTATAAGAAAATACTATCATTACTTATTTTACTGCTCAAATTGTTCCACATTTGGCCACTGAGTGTTCTATGTATGTTGGCTCTTGTGTGCTTTGGATGTGCCCCATTTTTTTTTTTAGCACTTCTTCACTTTTTGGGCACTACAAGATGCAGCAATCATATCCTGTATTTTCTCTGTGACAGCCCTGGAATCAACCACTTCTACAAGAAGCCCTGGTTTATTTTTATCAAAACTGAAAGAATCCAAGACCTTGGCAGTAGATATGTGTATTGTCTTTGGAGTGACATTGTTTTTAAGCCCTTATTGAACAGAACTTGTAAATAGATAAGTGCATACATGTATATGTGTGTATGTACACAAATTTATATTTATTTCTATATTTTCTTGTCAAATCCTAGAGTTAAAGTGAAGTTTCAGGAAGGTAAATTATTTAATCTATGGCTGGCCTCACCTAACCCAAATCCAGTTTGGGTTTGTGTAACAAAGGTTAGAGTAATAGTTGGCATAAATATCATTAATTCTACTGTTGCAACCCTAGGATGCAATGAGAGACCAAATAATCCTGACTTCTAACCTGGACCACAGAAGGTCTCTGCTAATTTGAAGGCAAAATGATCACTCAGTAAATAATGTCTGCTTGTATCAAGAATGTCTATGCTATACTTGTGCTTCTGGCAAATATGGACTAAAGAGTTCCAGATTTACCCTCCCACCTGAAACAAGTTAAAAACTGGACCATCGGGGGCTGGCACTGTGGCGTAGCGAGTAAAGCTGCTGCTTGTGGCACTCGCCTCCTAATATGGGCTCTTGTTCTAGTCCTGGCTGCTCCACTTCTGATCCAGCTCTCTAATAATATGGCTGGGAAGGCAGTGGAAGATGGCTTAAGTACTTGGGCCCCTGCACCCATATGGGACGCCTGGAAGAAGCTCCTGGCTCTTAGCTTCAGATCATCCCAGCTACAGCAGTTGGCCATTTGGGGAGTGAACCAGCAGATGGAAGATTCTCTCTCTCTCTCTCTTTATCTCTCTCTCTCCTGCCTTTCAAATAGATAAATACATTTTTTTTAAAAAATGGACTATTTATGACATAGTGGTTTTCTTTTTTTTAAGTTTTTTTTTTATTTATTTGAAAGACAGAGTTACACAGAGAGGTAGAGACAGAGAGAGAGGTCTTCCATCTGCTGGTTCACTCCACAAATGGCCGCAACGGCCAGAGCTGGACCAACCTGAAGCCAGGAGCCAGGAGTTTCTTCTGGATCTCCCACATGGGTGCCTGGGCCAAGGACTTGGGCCATCTTCTACTGTTTTCCCAGACCATACCAGAGAGCTGGCTTGGAAGAGAAGCAGCTGGGACTAGAACTGGCTCCCATATGGGATTCCGGTACTTCAGGCCAGGACTTTAACCCGCTGCACCACAGTGCCGGCCCCAACACAGTGGTTTTCAATACAATAAACATCATGCAATGAACAGAAGTGACTCCTGAAAGGGGACAATAAACAGGATGACTCCTATGACCACACCAGCTTATTACTGCAAAAGTTTCCAGGCATCAGTACAAGGAAGGGAAACCCAAGCAGAGCCTGGCAAACTCCTCAAGTTGAGGAACTGGAGCTGAGAATACAGAAAGATCAAGGTACCTGTAATTTTTCAAACAGATTAATGAAGAATAGAGAGAGCTACATAGAGAACCTTATAAATTTCTAGAGGTTCCTCCTTAAGTATTCAAAATAATAATGATCAATTCACGAATGTGAGAAATAGGGAAAAGAGCAATCCAAAAGAATTAGAAAAATAACTGAGGGACTGGTGCTGTGGTGTAGTGGGTAAAGCCACTGCCTGCAGTGCCCGCATCCCATATGGGCACCGGTTAGAGTCCCGGTTGCTCCACTTCCGATCCACCTCTCTCCTGTGGCCTGGGAAAGCAGTAGAAGATGACCCAAGTTCTTGGGCCCCTGCACCCGCGTGGGAGACCCAGAGGAAGCTCCTGGCTTCAGATCGGCACAGCTCTGGCTGTTGTGGTCATCTGGGGAGTGAACCAGCAGATGGAAGACCTCTCTCTCTCTCTGCCTGTCCTTCTTTCTCTGTGTAACTCTTTCAAGTAAATAAATAAATCTTTTAAAAAAATAAAAATAACTGATACCTACACAGGACCAGAAATACTGCCTGTTCCAATCAGTCAGACTAGAAAGCCTCTTAATTCATAGGGATATTGGGTAACCTTTTCAGAAGGGTCTTGCCTAAGCAGTGAGGAATAATCAGCCCTAGAATGAACATGATTCTGGATCCATGTAACACATCTTAAAAGCAATAAGGATGAAACTTTTGGGGCCACCATTGTGATACAACAGGTTAAGCCACTGCCTGTGATGCTGGCATCCCATATGGGCTCTGGTTAACTCCCAGCTGCTCTGCTTCCAAACCAGCTCCCTGCTAGTGTGCCTGGGAAAGAAGCAGAAGATGGACCAAGTACTTAGGTCCCTGACACCTACGTGGGAGATGTGGATGAAGCTCCTGGCTCTGGACAGGATGAGCTGTTGTGGCCATTTGGAGCGTGAGCCAGTGGATGGAAGATCTCTCTTTCTCTCTATAACTCTGTGTATCAAAAAATTTTTTAAAAAATTTGAAAAGGAAGAAACTTTTTCCAACTCCGGCACAAAGGTTGAGAATAATTATAAGAATACAAATCAATCGACTGAAACTAATCTGGAAGTGATATCAATGTTCAAATATTCAGACAAAAACATTAAAACATGTATTACAGTTGTATTCAATATATTCAAAAAGTTTAGTAGATACATGGAAAATATAAAAGAGACAGGAATTGAACATCTAGAGATGAAAACATATCAGAGATAAAAAAACTTACTGAGTGGGGTTAACAACAAATTCCAGATTGTAAATGAAAATATCAGTAAAATTGAAAGTGTAGAAATAGAAGCTATTCAAGGGGGTGGGCACCGCGGCAGAGTGGATGAAGCCATTGCTTGGAACACCTGTATCCCATATTAAGAGTGCTTGGGATCTAGTCCTGCCTCCACTTCCAATTCAGTTTTCCGCTTATCTACAGAGAGGCAGCAAATGATGGCTCAAGTATTTGGATCCCTGCCACCCAAATGGGAGACCCATATGGAGTTCCTACCTCCTGGCTTTGGCCTGAACCAGCCCAGGCTAACACTGTCCTTTCAAATGAAAAATAAAATAAAATAAACTTAAAAAGAAACTATTCACATTGAAACATAGAGAGAAAAAAGAATTTAAGAAAACCAGAACAGTACAACAGTGAGATGTGGCACATTACAGCCTAATGCATGTGTAACTGGAGTCCCTGAAGGAAAGGGGGAAACATAACAAGATATGAAGAAATAATTCCTGAAAACTTTTTTCTGCTCTCAACAAAATTTTATTTATATAGGTAGTTATTTAGTTATTTATTTTAGAGGTAGAGGTAGAGATAGAGAGGGAGGGAGGCAGGGAGAGAGAGAGAAAGAGTGAGCGCTCCCATCTGCTAGTTCACTCCTCAAATGCTTGCACTAGCTGGGGCTGGAGCAGGCCGAAGCCAGGAGCTCAGAACTCAAACTGGACCCCCCACAAGAGACCCAAATACTTGAACCATCACTTGTTGCCTCACAGAGTACCTATAAGCAAGAATTAGGAGCAGAAACAGGACTTGAACCCAAACAGTCAACATGGGATGTAGATGTTCTAAGCAGTGTCTTAACTGCTACACTAAATGCCCACTGTGCTGAAACTTTTAATGAAAACTATATATAGATGAAATTTATCCAGGGCCGGCACAGTGGCATAGTAGGTTAAGACTCTGCCTGCAGTGCCAGCATCCCATATGAACAACCAGTTTGAGTCCTGGCTGCTCCACTTCTGATCTTGCTCCCTGCTGATGTCCTGGAAAAGCAGTAGAAGATGTCCCAAGTGATTGGATCCTTGCACCTACGTGGGAGACCTGGAAGAAGCTCTGGCTCCTGGCTTGGATCTGCTCAGCTCCAGCCGTAGCAGTCATTTGGGGAGTGAAGACCTCTCTCTTTGTCTCTCCCTCTCTCTGTCTGCCTCTCAAAAAATAAAATAAATCTTTAAATATGTATATATCCACATATCCAGGGAGATAAATAAACCCCAAGTACAAAAAACATTATAATTAAAATGCTTAAAGTCAGTAACTAAAAAAAAAAAAAAACTCCTAAAAGCAACCAAAGGAAAAAAAGACACATTACATAAAGAAAAAAAATAACGAGGGCAATAAATTCTCATCTGAAACAATGCAAACAAGATGTTAGAGTGACAATAATATTCTATACCTAGTAAAAATATCTTTCAGAAATGAAGGTGAAATAGATTTTAGGCATACAAAAGCCTACAATTCATCACCAGCAAATTCAAAACTGTTAAAGAAAGTTATTTCTCCAGGCACATGGAAAAGATATGTTTAACATCTGAATCCACATGAAAGGATGAAAAGCATTAGAAATGGTAAATACATTTTTATTTTTATTTAAATCACTTTTAAATGGTAATTGGCCAATTAACAAAAATATAAAAGAATGTGTTTGTCCCAAAAAAAGGGTGCTTAGTAAGAAATGCAAAGGGAGGCCAGCACTGTGGCACATCGGGTTAAAACCCTGGACTGTGGTGCTGGCATCCTATTTGCTTGCCTGTTTAAGTCCCAGCTGCTCCACTTCCCAATTAGCTCTCTGCTATGGCCTGGGAAAGCAGTAGAAGATGGTCCAAATCCTAGGGCCCCTGCACCCACGTGGGAGACCCGGAAGAAGTTCCTGGCTCCTGGCCATTGCGGCCCTTTGGGGAGTGAACCAGCGGATGGAAGATCTCTTTCTAACTCTGCCTTTCAAATAAATAAAATAAATCTTTTAAAAAAATGCAAAAGGGCAGATAGAGAAGAAAACTCTGGCATTTTGTCTCCAGCACTGTCCTACAGTGACTGCATTTATGCATTTCAAAAATAATTTTAAATACTTATTGAGGCATAATTGGTGTTCAAATACTACATCTATTTAAACTATACAATTTGATCGATTTTGACATATGTCTACACCTGTGACATTATCATCACATTTAATGAACAATTGTAAAATCCTCAAAAGTTTCCTCATGTCCTTTTAATGTATCTCTCCTTTGCCTCTGTCCTTTGCAACCACAACTCTGCTTTCTGTCACTACAGATTTCTAGAGTTAAAAAATTATTTACTTAATTATTTGAAAAGCTGAAAGATAGAGAGGGAAACAGACAGAGATATCCACTGGTTCACTTTCAAAATTTTTTTGCAACAGCCAGGGCTGGTACAGGCCAAAGCTGGGAACCATGCACTCCAATAAAGGATAAGCATCTCAACTGCTATGCTAAATATCAGCTCCAATTTTCTAGAACTTTATATTTGTGGAATCATATAGAATGAACATTTCTGTTTGGCTTCTTTCACTAAGCATGATGCCTTCAATATTCATCCATATAGTTGCATAGATATTATTCCTTTCTATTGCCGAGTAAAGTTCCATTTTATGGATATATTGCAATTTATTTATCCATTTACCTGTTTATGGACATCTGGATTATATACAGTTTTGGAGATTATAATAAGGCCTCAAAGAACAACAACAAAAACTGTCTATGTTAGACTGCAGAAGAAAAAAAAAGCATTCTTGTACAGTATCTACCAAAAGATTTTATACAGAGGATATTAAATATATGATAATTTAATATAAACCTATATAAACCTTTCTATATAGTCATCACTGAACCAGTGCCAACAGATAATATTAAACACATGATTGAATGTTATTTCTAAGTAACTTAATGACCTGTAATACTCTCTAGACTCCTTGTTCCTGTGTGAGACCTTAAATCACTAAAATAAGACCACAATTTGGTCCCAGATTGCCATACACATGCTATGCGATATCACAGGATTTGAAAGGAATGAAAGCATAGCATCTTGATCCTGTTGTCTGTGTAACCTCCTTGGGGAAAGGCTAACAGAGTAGTAAAGAAGGAAGCTGAAGACAATTTCTGCTAGAATCCTTTTATATTGGTTCATGATGAGGGGCAGCATTAACAGAAAGAATGAGTTGTCCAGGATTTTAAAAACAAAAATATCATGTTTAAAGTCCATTCCACAATTAGTACTTACAGCAGTTTTATAGGCAGCTTCAATGTAAAACACAAGGTTCTGTATGAAATTGACTTCATCTAGGCTGTGGATAATATGGAGTCCTGAGGAAAAAGGGAACAAATATATAGAACTAGTCAATTATCACTTCAAGCTTTATAGGTAGCTGGGGTGATTAGATGACCTCACTATTTCCAAGTAGTCCTATTTCCATTTAGGAACAATGGAAAGTAATTTGATTCCTAAACAATAACACAAGACCACAAGTCAGTCCTAGGCTAATCTCTAACTAAGTAAGAACCAAACATTTTAACATAGAAGAATTTTATTTGTTATTTTTAGTGTTAATAAAAAAAGTCTCAGACTTTTGATTCTATAAGAAACTATTTTACAATGCACTTAAGTATATAAACTTAGACATCTGGAAGAAGAAAGACATCTCAAAAAGAGTTGGAAGGGGTCTAAGTCAGAAACAAGAAGTAATAGACAAAATTATGATTTTTAAGGAAGATTTAAAACCATATTTTCTGAGTAAAATGATGGTTATTCTAAATGTAAGCTAAATAGCTACTGATTACACATAGTATTTTGATTGAATTTCATATTTAATTTTACAAAATAAAGATTTATTTATTTTGCAAGCCAGAGTTACAGAGACAGAGGGAGAGACAGAAAGTGAGAGAGATCTTCCATCCACTGGTTCACTCCCCAAAAGGCCACAATGGCTGGAGCTGGGATGATCCAAAGCCAGGAGTCTGGAGCTTCTTCCACGTCTCCCACGTGGGTGCAGGGGCCCAGGAAATTGGGCCATCTTCCACTGCATCCCCAGGCCATTAGCAGGGAGCTGGATCAGAAGTGGAACAGGACACAAAGAGGCCCCCACATGGGATGCTGGCATTTTAGGGCGTGGCTTTACCTGCTATGCCACAATGCTGGCCCTGAATTTCACATTTAACTTTTACTACAACCATAAGAAGTGAGTATTTTTTTAGCTATATATTTTCTCCATGAGGCATAGAGAGAGAAAATATTTACCTAAGCTCATGTAATCAATAAATAGTGGGACTAGACTCAATTGAGTGCTAACTTCTGTGTCACTTCAGAGACTGAGTTCCTAAGCAAAATTCTATACTATTTCCTAGTATGCACAATATGCTCCATTTTTGTTTATAAACTCTCTGCACACACACACACACACACACACGCTTTGAAAAATCTATACCAGGAGGATGTTAACATCATTATCTTTGGTGGTAAAATTCAAGGGAGCTTTATTTTCTTGTTGTTTGGACATGTTTGTAATTTTTCAATATTTGACAATGAACAGGCACTACTTTTTAAATTAAAAAAGTTATACAGAAAAGCAAAATCATATTAAATAAAGCAGAAACCTGGAAGACACACTGCATTCAATTTTACATAAAATTATTAAATCCTGAGCACTAAGACTTTTTGTATGTATAAATTTACTACTCAATTAACTTTGAAAACATCTCTTTCACAACAATAAAGTTTACTGTCTATGTAGACTACTTCATTCTAACCACAAAATCATTTCAGAATTGAAAAATCAAAAAGCTTATTTTTCCTTTACAGTCTATAAGCAAACAGGAGGAAGAAGAGAAGAACATATTAGCTAGAGACACTAAACTTTAAAGCTTCTCATATTTTCCTGGAAGAAACTATTTTGTTTAAACAAAAATTTGTAACCAAAACAGCGTGGTTTAAATGGAAATGATTACATCTGCCAGTTATGTAACTTGAGCTACAGGCAGAAAAAGCCCAGAATCTGCAGTTTGCTGAGCAATGGGTACATCCACAGAAGCAAGATCTAGGGCAAAAGCTTCTTTTAAAAGGGTATGGGAGGGGCCGGCACTGTGGCACAGTGGGTTGAAGCCCTGGCCTGAAGCGCTGACATCTCATATGGGTGCTGGTTCTAGTCCCAGCTGCTCCACTTCCCATCCAGCTCTCTGCTATGACCTGGGAAAGCAGTAGAAGATGGCCCAAGTCCTTGGGCCCGTGCACCTGAGTCAGAGACCCGGAGGAAGCTCTTGGCTCCTGCAGCTCTGGCTGTTGCAGCCATCTGGGGAGTGAACCAGCAGACCTCTCTCTCTGCTTCTCCTCTCTCTGTGTAACTCTGACTTTCAATTAAATAAAATAAATCTTTCAAAAAAATAAATAAAAGGGCTTGGGAATGGGGGCTGTTGTGGGTTAGCAGGTAAAGCCACCACCTGCAACGCCATACAGATGAAGCTCCTGGTTCCTGGCTTGGGCCTGGCTCAGCCCTGGCCACTGAGGCCTTCTAGGGTGTGAATTAGCCAATGGAAGATCTCTTTGTTTTCTCCCTCTCTCTCTGTAACTCTTTCAAATAAATAAATCTTTAAATTAAATAAATAAATAAAGAGCTTGGGAATGGAAAAGTCCACCGATGTTCTTAGAAGTGTGATGTAAAGTGGTTGTCAAATGCTTCTTAATGTCAGCTTTCAAATGAACTCCACCATCAATGTCCTGGATGATATTCACTCCTGTTCAGAAACAATTCTTAGCACAAAAACCTCCCATATAACTCAGCACTTAGTAACCCTCTTTGATAAGAAAAAAATTCAAACTATAGCAAAGAGTATACAGAGAATCTTCCTCCTACCTGGAATCATATCATGCCAGCCAGCCCCTGACAAATCTCTTCTCCAAGTAAGCCAGTCTTAACTAGTTTCTTTTGTATCCTTTCAGAGATATGTTATACATATATAGACATTACCCAAAGGATAGTATACGACGGGGCCTCAAAAAGTTTGTGGACAAATGGAATTAAACAATAATGCACGTTTTCCATGAAGTTTTTGAAGCCCGCTTACATTATATTCCACTTGCTTTTCTCGCATATAACTTTGGAGATATTTTCAAACACATCTATCTGCCTCATTGTTTTAACGGCTACATAGCATTCCACTGAATGTCCAGGCATGTAACCAGTACCCTATTGAAAGACATTTAGGTCTTATCTAACCTTTCATCACTACAGTCAATGCTGCAATGAGTATCTTTGTGTGTGTATATATATATATATATATCTTTCTGCATAGGTGTTAGCATATCAGGGTAAATTCTTTTTTTTTTTGACAGGCAGAGTTAGACAGTGAGAGAGAGAGAGAAAGGTCTTCCTTTTCTGTTGGTTCACCCTCAAATTGCGCTGCGCTGATCCGAAGCCAGGAGCCAGGTGCTTCCTCCTGGTCTCCCATGCGGGTGCAGGGCCCAAGCACTTGGGCCATCCTCCACTGCTCTCCCTGGCCACAGCAGAGAGCTGGACTGGAAGAGAAGCAACCGGGACAGAATCGGCGCCCCAACCGGGACTAGAACCCGGGGTGCCAGTGCCGCAGGCGGAGGATTAGCCAAGTGAGCCCTGGCGCCAGCCAGGGTAAATTCTTAGAAGTGGAAATACTCGGTTAACACTTCATGCATATTATTCATGCAAATTATTTTTCCCAATATTTTATTATGAATATTTTCAAACAAGAAAAATGAAAGAGTTTTATAAAGGACACCTGTATACATACCCACCAACTGGACTCTGCCATTAATGTTTTACTATACTTTGCTCCTCACATATCTATCCATCTTATTTTTTATGCATTTCGAAGTTGCAGATATTAGTACACTTCCCCCTGATATAATTCCACACTTTATATATCAACCAAAACTAACTGGCTATTTACATAAAAGCTTACAAACACAGGCTTCAATAAAAGATTTTCATCTCTGCCTTACTCTAGTTCAGTGGATAAGAAATAGAATGTCCTTATAGTTTAATTTGCAGTCCTTTCATTAGGAGTAAGCTTGTGAGTCTTTTTATACATTTATAAGCCATCTGTATTTCTTTTCTTATGAACTGCTTGCTTATGCCCTTCATTTCTATGGAGTTGCTGCTTTTTGTTATTGTCTATCGATATGCTTATATACATACACATCGCTCATTACTAAACTTTCATTTTTCTTCTTTCTGTTATTGAAATTTTAATGAATATAAATGAAATTAGTCTTCGTCCATACGTATTCCAAATATTTTTTCTAGTTTGTTTGAATTTCAACTTTGTTTATAGATTGAATAGCTCTTATCTGAAATGCTGGGGACCACGAGTGTTTAGGATTTTGAAACATGTGCACATACAAAGTGAAATATCTTGGGGATGGGACTCACATTTAAACACAAAATTCACTTCTATTTTTTTTTGACAGGCAGAGTTAGACAGAGAGAGTGAGAGAGAGAGAGAGAGAGAGACAGAGAGAAAGGTCTTCCTTCCGTTGGTTCACCCCCCAAATGGTCACTATGGCCGGTGCGCTGTGCCGATCCAAAGCCAGGAGCCAGGTGCTTCTTCCTGGTCTCCCATGTGGGTGCAGGGCCCAAGCACTTGGGCCATCCTCCACTGCTCTCCCGGCCCACAGCAGAGAGCTGGACTGGAAGAGAAGCAACTGGGACTATAACCCAGGGTGCTGGCGCCACAGGCGGAGGATTAGCCTAGTGAGCTGTGGCACCTAGTCTGTAGATAATTTTGCACATTTTTTTTAAGAATTATTTTATTTATTTGAAAAACAGAGTTACAGAGAGGTAGAGCCAGAGAGAGAGGTCCTCCATTCCGCTGGCCCACTCCCCAAATGACCGCAATGGCCAGAGTTGAGCTGATCTGAAGCCAGGAGTCAGGAGCCTCCCCCAGTTCTTCCAAGCAGGTACAGGGGCCCAAGGACTTGGGCCATCCTCCACCGCCTTCCCAGGCCACAGCAGAGAGCTAGATTGGAAGAGGAGCAGCCAGGACTCGAACTGGCACCCACATGGGATGCCAGTGCTGCAGGATGGGGCCTTAACTTACTGCACCACAGAGCCAGCTCCAATTTTACACATTTTATTAGTCCACCTGCCATTAGACTGCAAGCCACCATATGAGGTCAGGTGTGGAATTTTCTACTTGTGGGATCATGTTTGTGCTCAAAAAGTTTCAGATTTTGGAGCATTCTGGATTTCAGATATTCAGATTAGGAATGTTCAATCTGTAGTATATTTTTCTTTGCAGAAATTTTTATGAAAAAATTTTATCCCATTAAATTTTCTATA